TAGATAGAGAAATGTTCCGTCTATCTACCTGCGAAGTGTCGTTTTTTTCCGAGTAAAAATGCTTCAGGTACGCTCAAAATACTGTGAAAATTAGAGAAGCTGTCCCGAATTACCCCAAGTTACTCTACTATAGTCTTTACTATTGATCTTTTACTTGTTCTGTCTTTCTGTACTCTTGTTTATTGTTGGCAAAATTGCTCGTTTATAGTGCTACAGTGAGTCCGCGACTCTTTACATTTATTTTTTTCTTTCTTTCAATAAAACGCTTAGAGTAATATACTATAGTCGAAATAATTCTGATTTCAATTACAGTATGTCGAGACATATTCTCTCAACATGATTTACCTGAGTATATCATCATTGTCATTCAACTGTAAATAATATTTTAATGCCAAATGATATTCATTTTCATTAAAATATTTATCACCTAATAATTTCCAATCTGTATCAACTGATAAATTTCGTATTTCAAATGTTAACTGATCATGATTATGTAGCAACTGTTCATCGAATATCATTTCATCATCATTATTATATAATTGTTCCATTTTAGAACATAATAAAAATTGATCATATTGTGTTAATGTTTTTAATTTGGACCAAGAGTCTATTTTAAATTTCACATTAATAAATGCCATACACCATATTATTTTTGACTTATTCTTTAACGATACTGCATGATTTAACCAGTCATTTATACTCTGATTGAGCAAGATTTTAATCAAATAATAGAGGATATTATTTTCAATAAACTTTATACTCAATTTATGTTGTATGCTTTTATCAAGTGAAATTAACATGAAAGCTACTCTGTTATACTCATGATTTTCACACAACTTGGTCAGAACATTAATCCAACCGTCGATCGATAGTTGTGCTTGTTTGAAACAAAACGTAGCTAGTCGATTTTGACTACTCAAATATATTTCTCCTTTTTCTTTCCAATCAACTTTACCAGTTTCATTTAGGTACAATAGATAAAATAAACATAACTCACATTTATCTAATTTATCATATTCTAAGCATTTTTCTAATATTTCTTCATCTGTTAATTCGGCTTGCTTATAACAGAGTAGACATAAAATTGAATATACGTTAATGGTTGACGTTTCATTTGACATTTGTTCATATTCGTTTCCTTTTTCTAACCAAAATTTTTTATCTTTTTTCAATATTTTAACACACGTTAATACTGTTGAATAATCATTTCTTGAACATGCATCCAATGCCATTCTCAACCATTCGTTCTCATCTAAATTACTATAGTTAAAAGCTTGTAAAGCTAATTGAAACTGCTCGAATGAATAGAGTTGTTTTCCAATAGTTTGAAAGAAATCATTATTCTCATTGTTAATATAACTATGGATAAGTGCCAAACAGATATCGATGTGGACAAAGTTTTTATTTTTAATTAAATTATTGATATAATCCATTAGTATCTTTACATCAATTCTATTTCGTTTTATCACACATTTTTTACATATTTTAACCGGATATGTATAACCTAAATGTGGTACTGTTTCAACTACTTGACAATCATGACATTGTAATGTGCCACACATGATACAATGAGATTTACGAAGGAAAATATTGAAATTTGCTGAACATATATTACAATTATATTGTGTCTCTACACGTATCACATTCGGTTCATGTTGAACAATATAAAACAAATTATTAATATTAAAATATTTTTCTAGTAATAAAACATTATTTTTATTATTAAACATATTGATTTTTGTTTGTGATGGTAGTCGATATTTACCATACGTAGTTGTATATTTGTGATCAAAAGTGTTTTTAAGTTGTTGAATAATTTTGTCGTCAGGTGTATAGATGATCAGATTTGCTGTTGTCAAATTATGAACTAATGTCTCAATCATCTTGTATTGATCACTGGTAGTATTCAGATATAAATTGTATACTGATGAACTTGAAATAATTTCAACTGGTTCTACTATTTGTTCGATATAATTGAATATTTGATACCATTCTGGATCACATAATAATCTCGTGTATTTTGGTGTTAATTGTTTCCAATTCCATATTTCATTTGTTATTCTATTTTTTAACAAAATATCTAGTTTCAATATATATGGATTTTCAAATAGTGATGTATACCCTGTTACAATTGTCAATTTATGTTCATCCATATCCAGAAACATTTGATTACATATATTACATTCATTGTAGATTTTTGATTGCTGTTCTAAATGATTAAATTTATTCAATATTTCATTTGTAATCGATAACATTGCATCTGTAAAATTATCTGTCAGATTGAGATTATTTCGATACTCTTGAATCCATTGTTTTATTTTTATTTGATATTCATTTGATAATTTTGTACCATTTTTGAATAATTTCAAATCATCTTCGTCTAAATCACTATCATATTTGTCATCATCTTTTGATAATATTTCGTATGCTTTTTGTATCAATTGAAACATATGTTGGGTATTTGGATTATTTATATTTTTATCAGGATGATATTTCAATGCTTTTTTCTTATAGGCGTTTCGTACATCATCCACAGTTGAATTTGGATCAATATCAAGAATGTTAAAGTGATACTTTTTTAAATTCTTACCACTAGTCTTTTCCTTTGACATGATGATCACTTTCTACATATAACACGGGAATAAAGTCATATTTGTCTTAAAACTATTCACTCTTATATTTTTTATTCTCTGATTCACTGAATAAGAACATTTATGTGTACTACACATAAATATTCTTGTTTTCTGTTTGATTTACTGCCAAAAGAAAACGTTTTGCCGTAGGGATATGTAAAATAACCGTTGAAAAAACTGAAGTAAATAGAAAAAATGCAAAACATTTTCTTTTTCTCTTTTACTGATTTGAATGGTTTAAGGGGGGGGGGGGGGCCCCCCCTTTTTTTGCCACCTTTTTTGGGGGCAAATTGAAAAGAACCGGTCAAAAAAACGTTTAAATGCCCCGTTTATTTTTTTTTTTTAAAAAAAATTTATTATTTTTTTTTTGGCCTTTTTAACCCAAAACCCCCCCCACCCAATGGCCCAACCCACAAAAAAAAAAAAAACCCCCACCC